CCCCCCCCCCCCCCCCACGAGGCAAATGGAGCAACAAGTTTTATGTATCAATGGATGCCGTGTCAGTTGAAAGATGACTCTTTTTTCGGAATGGAAGGAGTTATATCAATATAAGGATACCGAGTATCCAATTAAACTTACTTGTAAACAATGTCAACAGTGTTCCGAATGTCCCAGCAGAGAATATAAGGGTCCTACAGCCCATAACTTTGTCAGCATATTTATATATAGATATATGACGTGCAATATCAAAGTCAAGGAGTTACATAGAGGTTCCCTTATTGTATTACCTTACGCCCTCCAGTATACAAGTAGTTTCCATCTGTTGAAAATTGCATCTGAAAGGATATGTCTTGTTTAATTTCTTGTAAAGTACTTTCAATTTCAAAAGCATGTGTAACTAAAAAAGAAATCTCCCTCAATAAAACTTCTACTCCCTCCGTTTGGAAAAACCCTTCCCATTTTGATTTGGGGTAAAAATAAGGAAGTGTTAAATTATAGTTGATTTCCAATTTTGCCCCTGATGTGATGGGTAAAAGTAAGATGTGATGAATAGATTATTAGAGAAAAAGTATGATGTGATAGGTAGGGTATGAAAAAGTAAGGGGTAAAAGTGGTATTTTAATAGAAAAGGGAAGTGTTTTGTTGGAAGTGGAAAAAATGAAAGAGGAAGTGTTTTTGAGAACGGAGGGAGTATATTTTACTCTCTAAATACAAGTGTTGGCATTGTGAAATGTCTTTACAGTTTTTTTTTGGCATTTTTTGGCATTATAAACCCTATTTGGTATAAAAACATTGAATGACATATTTTGGTATATAAAGCATGTTTTAGTCTTAGTTAGGTATTTCTCGCTACCTAACAAGCAAAACTAGGTTACAACTTACTTGTGTGACACCACCTTCTTGGCCATGCAATACATAAAGCAATTCCATGTTATCTTCTCTATACATTGCAGTGGTTTGGCTATATGAACCGGTAGCTAGCAATCCATTATGGCTTGGAGAGAAAGCAATTGAGGATATAATTCCTGTCATAAAATTTGAAATTTTCATCACTTAAAAGATGACTACAGGTAAAAGAACATGAGAAGTGATTATTGTGAAAATGAAACCAACAAAGTTACATATACAGGTGTGAATTTATTTATTCCCGATGTTACCTATCTCCAGAAAACTAGAATATCCCTTAATTGCATTCAGAAAGTTGTGCTATGATCCTATCTGTTTGACAATACATTGTTATGTAATGGCTGCAAAGAAATGCAAGCTCATGTTTTTTTTACCTCAAAAATACTATTACTTGTAGCTTTCAGTGTGGTTGGTTAAACGGGTTTTGTTGGGGTCGGGAGAGTAGGCAAACCAATTTTAGAATCCTTGAAAGACTTGTTCACACAAGGTTTTTAAAAGTACAAGGGAAAGACATATTTATTCGACCAACAAATCTATTTGTCTTCAAACTCTCCATAATTTGATTGTAGACCCAAAAATACCTGATTGCCCTTCTTTTTTACCATCAATAGTAGAATGGTGTCCATAATCTCTTCCGGGTCGATGAATATCAAACACTTTGAGAGATTTGTTGTAACCTGCAAATATCCTAGAAATGAAAGGGAAAAAAATTGACTTTGTATATAAACTAGCTACATCTGCCCACATGCAAGGACTAACAATGAAACTTTCCGTTCTTGACAGATATATAAACATAGCATCAAACATATTTGTTTAGTTTAGCTCAACAAGTATTATCTATTATATATGAAGTATAAACACTGGGTGATTTATCGCTCAGCGACTAGATTTTTCATAACTTGAACACAACCCAACACAAAAACCAACATTCCCTCCACTAAATCAGTGGTATCAAATCTCTACTGCTGTTAGTATCATTACTAATTTGCTAGGAAATGTTCTCATTGAATAAGACAAGGCTCCAAGAATAAACTTAGTCAGCTGCAAGACAAATTTTAACATGAAATCCTAAATAGTGGAAGTTTTACTTTGTCCCTGAAGGGTTGAAAGCAATCGAAAAGGCAGCCGTGATTTCATCCACTGCATTATAAGCGCGATATGTACAACGTAGCTGCAATATACAAGTAAATATCAGCTGTTGACAAAATAAAATCAACTAAGTGAATCACAAAGTATCTTGATGGTGCTATGACACACCTGTCCAGAATAAGCATCCCAAAGATGAATTGGGTGGTCACGAGTGGAAGTAGCAAAGACACATGTATCTGGACCTGAGTCACATGAACCAAATATAAATTACACCGACATGACCCGCAAATGACATCACCAAATTAAGTTATTAATAGTAATAGACATACTTGAAGACGACATGCAAGGATACCAGCAGTAGTCATAAACGGACTCTCCCTCACTAATTTCTACACTTGCTGAATAGGAATCTGCATATTGTCGGTCTTACTGTCAATATGTGGAGTTAATTCCAGTCAAGTTTTTTTATCAATCCAACAGAATTGAAAAATCAACCCACTCCTACAATATGTTGTTTATAACAAATAACAGCCCAAGAAGACAAATCTGGATGCCAAAAAAGAAAACTTACCAGTATCTTTAGCTGCTGAACTATCAGCCACAAGGTATCCACTTTCGTCATAGGGTCTAAAGAACGAAGCAGATTGAAGTGTTAGAAATTTCTCATCATAAATGCAAATGGATCATCTACATAATCTGTGTGGTGTTATTATTCTTTCCATGTCCCATTCCAAGATTATTCATTTTTTTTCAATTTGCACATTTGTTTCGGCCGTCAGAACTATTCAACAACAAAACAAATTCTATCTTTAATGTCCCATTCCAAAATTATTCATTTTTCATTTTGCTCTTTTGTATTGGCCTAAAAGTTATTCAACGACGAAAAAGATTCAATCTTTAAAGGAAAGAACTGCAATTCAAAAGCTTACAATGAGAATATACTAAGAGTGTTGTCATCAGAGCAAGCGAGGAAGCAAGAACCGTCAGGTGACCTAGAAAAGATTACAAGTTAATGAAATTTTCGATGAAACAGAAATGTTTCTAGCTGTTTATGTGTCTAAATACATATACCATCTGACGCCCTTTAAAAAGTTGTTAGGGTTTGAAGGGGTTCGGAATTGGCTGTAAAAATGATAACTGCGATACGGCGGAAGAGCGTAGTTGATGAGCGGCCAAGATTGGGAGGAGGCTTCGTCCGGCTGAGGATCAGTTCCCGTGTTGAGCTGCTGCTGCTGCGGCGGTGCTTCTACTTCTTCCGCCATCGTTTCCCTGTAGAAACCTCCCAGCCTTTCACTTTCGCTGCCACACAGCCGCCGCAATTTTCGGGAGAGTGGCGCCAAAAAGACACTACTCAGTAGGTTTCTTTTACACTCTCCGCGCTGCCCCAGGCAACTTAATTTTCTATTCTCTTGTTTTGTCAAAGAGAGGCTGGTAAAAAAACTCACAAAAATCACATTTTTGTTTAGAAAAAAAAGATGAGCCTCATTCACTTCCGGTAGGACAGAGAGGAGATAAATTAGACTTTGATCACAGATTGATAATAAAGAATTGAGTCTGTACGAGTTATTTGTAAAGCCATATGCTTTGCATAATTGCCTCTCAGCGCAGTTGTTAGGAATCGAATTGAAACTCGGGTCTTATCCCCTTTAACAATACTTACCTTTGCCAACTGCGCAACCTCATTCGCAGATTGATCGCACATTTTTTTGAAAGTTATGTAAGATCATTTTTAGTGAGGTTTACAAGTAGTAAACTGTAAATTTTGAAGCTTTTTTTGCTTGTGATGCTAACATTTCTCTTATTTTTACTATGTTTGATAATTATCATTTTTTTTTAAAAAAATTGAATATCTAAAATGATATTCTCATTCTATTTTTTAATATTTTACATACCTGGTTCTTCTCATTCTATTTTTAATTACTTTTCACTCATATCATTTAACAAACTCCTCATTTTAAAGAGTAAAGTGGATAATTCCCATTTTATTGTTTTTCAATTCTCCATAAATTAAGTAAAAATTCAACATGCAAAGATCATTTTTGAACAAAGAAGTACTATTTTACAAAAATGGTTGAAAACCACATTTTATACAAACTAATGGTTACTACATATTTAAAAGTGACTTGTCATCACGAATAGTTTAGATGATTCTGAAGAAAAAAATTAATCTAAAAGTCTTAAGATTAATTTAGGGAAAAATTACACTAGAATTATACGTAAAATCTAAACAGGGGAGTGATTAGTACACCCTCGTAAGGTAAAAAAAATTTTATTTTAAAAAGACATTCACTGAACTTCATACTTCAACCGTTGTTAACGGGTAACGAGTTAATAAAAGATTTCTACCCCCCAACTTCATGTTAAAGTTTTCCTTAATCCCCCCGAGGTCAGTTTTGGATTTGCACGTTTATTTCGCGAGTCTCATTCCCCCCGCCATGGCTGCCGAAGGAAAAACTCGAAACAGAGAGAGCATGGAGGCCCGTGAAACTGAAAAAGCGGTTCCATTTCAGCTTCAATTCGACAAGCCCATTGCTTCTCAGGTCTCCGCCCTACCACTGCAGAAGCTTCTTTAATCTTCTCCACAGCCATTTTCGTCTTCTTCTTCTTCTTCTTCTTGTTCTTTTTTTACGGATTATTGAAATTCTTGGTTCACAGATAAAAATAGCTGAATGGAACCCAGAGAAGGATCTTCTTGCAATGGTCACTGAGGAATCGAAGCTTCTTCTTCATCGTTTCAATTGGCAGAGACTCTGGACTATATCTCCTGGTACATTCCAACTCTTCACTTTTCATTTTTTTGTTGCATTATACTATACCCATTATTTATTTATTTATTATTTTAGTGAAAAAAGTATGTTTAGGCTCCGTTCTTTTCGGTTGAAATTCTAAAGTTGGATGTTGTTTGGAAAAAGTTGGAAGTTAATTTTTCCGACCCAAATGAACAGAGCCTTAATAGTTGGAGTTGTTAGCAATTGCAGTCATCATTAGTTTTTTTTGTTATTTTGCTAATAAGTATTAAGCTCCATTTTGATTTTTGGCTTTTCCCTCTCTAGGAGTGTAAGCTGTTCTCTTCTCACTCCATTTTAGTGATGCTTCATCTTGTAAGGAAGAAAAAAGATGAACTTTTATAATTTTCTTAACACTGCTTAGTTGTGTCTTAGGAAAGATCATTACATCTATATGCTGGCGACCGGATGGAAAAGCAATAGCCATTGGGCTTGATGATGGAACAATTTCATTGCATGATGTGGAAGTAAGTCCGTGTTCTGGTCAGTTATTTTCTTTTAAAAAAATAATTACAATTAAATATCTCATTTATTTATTGATGGAATAATAATAATAATAATAATCATCATCATCATCATCATCATCTAAATCTCAACAGCTTTTGGGCCGGCATCATGAAAAACTAGTGTCAATTCACTATCTAAAATTAGGTAGCTATCTGAATACATGGACGAAAAACATAGTCACAAGTTTATATTGGATTTCCTTCCTGCCGCAACTTTCTTATGACGGGATAATTAGATGAAATTTCATAGCCATCAGCGTAATATCAAGAGACTGCTATTACTCAAGATAGTTGCTACTGTCATTTTCCAGACATTTTTTAAACCAACCCAGGCATTGTAAAGTGACCACAAATATCAATTATCGTGAAACCTTACTAAATTTGACTGTGAGATTCTTTTAACAATCAGTTGGTTATATAACGTTCTTTAAATAGAATGCTGATTGTATCAGAGTGCAGGTGCAAACTTTTTATGCGGAGTTTGCTCATTTCTTATTTCTTTTTTAAAATTTTAAAATTTGCTAGGGAGAATCATTTCAGTAGTCATCTTGCAAATAAATGTTGTTCGTTGAGTTCAAAATCACAGTGAATTGTCCTATGAACGCAAATCATCATCACATGTTGCTTCTTTAATGCTTTAGGCAAGAGAGTTAGAAAACTTCATTATTTGGTTTATCTTTTGCACTTGCTACATCTACACATTGACAAGTTAAAGACCAGACATGACATTCTTGCCTACCTAATTGATTAATTTTATGATGCCACATCCTTATTCTAAATTTAAGAGAGTGTTACCTGTTGTTCTAATCTTCAGACCTTTATTTATCACACATTTTTGGTGTGTCGTATTTTTATCAGAATGGAAAACTTCTGCGAAGCATTAGGTCCCACACAGTTGCTGTTTCATGTCTTAGTTGGCAGGAGGAAGAACAAAAGGTTGGCACACTTCTTTTCTCTTTATGAGTGACTCTTTCATAGTAAGTCCTAATTGATTTTTTTGATTAAGCATTTTCTTCTTTACAATTTCTTTTCATTTTTCTATTCTTTATGCCCAATTTGGAATACTTGTCTCTGTGCTTATTTTCTATTTCTTTGTTACTATATTAACCACGTGGTACTTAGAATGAGACGAGTAACATATCACAATATGAAGACCGCACTTTACGTTTCTTTCCACCACCACCAAGAGTACCTAGAATGCCTGGACTTGTACCAGGAGATAGTGGTTTCATGGATGAAGCTGAAGACTCATTCAGAGAGCTATCAAATTCTTCAAATCAACAATATAACATTTTATGCAGTGGGGACAAAGATGGAAACATTTGCTTCAGTATCTTTGGCATATTCCCAATTGGAAAAATTGTAAGTTAACCATCACAATAAGGGAAACTAACTTTATAAAGTGTTGCCAAGTTATCCTTTGTACTTTCCCAACATATGTTCATGGGTATTCATGTGGGAATACCATCTAACGTATTTTGTGCTCCTTGTGTTTTTATATGGAATGTCACTCAAGAATCTACACAATATCGTGTTTCCAAGAAGCCATGCGAATAACCAAATCTTAAATGCTTCTATTTGCAATGTAAGATAATAAGTTCTCTTTCATTGTTTATTTTTGCATTAAACATATCTAATATTTTATGACAGTTGTAGTTTTGTTTGTCTCTGTTGGGTGCAAGAAAATTTTCATTATCTTTGTAATTGGAGTTTTTTATCGTCTAGATTTGTGATTTATTTATGATTTTATGTTTTCATCTACAATAATAGAAACTAGTGAGAGGAGGCTCATAACAAAACAACTGCAAACAAAATTTAATTTTTTGGCAAAGCATATGATTAAAGAGCCTTTTTTTATTGTATCTCCCAAATGAATGCAAGTTTCATGCAGTCCTCTCATCATCTCAATCTTAATTTTGCTACAGTTAGTGGCATGAAATTTTTAATGTCAAACCATAGTCTTAAATCATGCCCCATTACAAGATTAATATTGTAAACTCAACATGCACATCATGGAGCATGACTTTAACCTGCAATGCTTTGAAGTCTGTAAATTTTTCTGTCAACTTTAGCATTCCAAAAACCTACTCTAATATAATTATTAATTAAAGGACGTGTTCTTCTTCAACTAAGAATTTATGATGACAGCTGAACTACACATTTCATATTTACATAAATGTCTCAATATCTATATATACTCCCAATGATACAATTGTACATTCCCGACACATACTTCGTTTAACAAGAGTAATCAAAAGGTTCTTGATTTTTGACAGTTCTACAATTGAAATCCTATACTGTATTGCTCTTACAATATTCAATTAATTTATTGAAGGTAAGCACGTCTTGCAGAGTAATACGGTTTATTTCTCTCTTACCTACAGGTTTCTTTGTCGAAAGATCTTTGCCATTTGGTAGTCATGTGCAGTGGGGACCTCTCTACCTCTACTGTTGAAGCTGGGGAAAAACATTTATCTAGCTACATGTTAACCGGGTTCCATTGCCTAGTTCTTGACACTTCAATTTTCTCTAAAAGGTAAGCCCCAATCACAAAGCATTTGTTTGTCGTTGTTTGCTTGTTTCTGTCATTTCACACTAATGAACTCCACAGTCCATCAAATCATTATTGCTTTATACTGAACAATTAACTTTTTAAATCTAGGAGTTTAGTTCAATTTTTTGAGAATTGATTTCTTTGATTGAGGTGAAATTGTGCACAATTAGTACAAGTGACATGATGTGATTTTACTCATTGATATGCTTGCAATTGTAGCTTTTTCCAAAATGAAAAATACGAAACTACTATTATTGATATGACTTTTGACTGCCGAAGTCATAACTTCTAAAGACTTACAATGCTTTTAAAGTATAGTGACTACTTTCTATACTTTAAAACTAAGTTTCTTTTGCTTTACTATGGAAATGGATTTTAGGAAAAATGAGCTTAATCAAGTGGCTCATCAGGCTTCTAACATTGAAGATCTAGTTGAAGTTATCCGGACATCAATATCAGTCATGTCTAAGCAATGGTCTGATGCCATGCGCACTTTTACTGGAAAGTTCAATGCTTTATCTTCCCTAATTATTGACCATGGTAATGTCTCAATATCCAGGTCATACAACTTAGATGTCCTTTTACTCTCTCACTCTTTTTTTTTTGTGCCGCGCTTTTAAAGGGCTCGACTCTAGTCCTCAAGAGGAGCTTTTGAGCTTATTAGGTGGTGCCAGGACAAGTCCAGCAGTTCATCAATTTTTAGTTAACACACTTGGTGAAGCGGTAACCTTCACTTGCTTAGCACTTTGATAGATAGGTGATTAATAGTTATCCACACTTCAACCTTGTTATAATTATCAGGGTCTTAAGAGGGTAGCAAAGGTAGTTAATGGTGCTGGAAAAGAGCTTCAGCTGGTAGTACGGGATCATCTACAGGTGCACCTATAACCTTTCTCTGACCTTACAGTTTTAATATACGCAGAATGAATATTCTTTAGGTTCTATTGTTGTACTTATGCACTATAGCCTGTTTTGATAATAAAGCAATCCATAATTCGTAGTGTTTTTAATGCTAAGTATCTTTATCTCTTGCTCTGAAATCTGTGTTAGTGCTTTTGTTGCCATCATATCAAATATATTGTTATGGACTGTATAAGATTTGTATAATAACAACCATGTTTTTTATCTTCTTTTTTATGAGGTTAACAAAAAAGAAGTTGTTCTCTTGGTTTAAATCAGGTTTGATCCGATTCTAGTTAAATTTAAAGATGTTTCCGATCTCATCTGATTCCAATAAGAATAAGTAATAAGAATAAATTGAAGAGAACAAGTCTTCTTGAATCTCCATTGGAATAAGAAAAGGAGGGTTTATTATCATTCACTCTTAAGTTGCCCCCCACCCCGCCCCCGCCCCCCCCAAAAAAAAACTGTAACCATCCAGAGTTGTTGAATAAGGAGTATGTCTAATAACTTACACATGCATTAAATTTTTCTAAGTGTGTTGCATAGTTCAATAAATATTTCTAGTGGGGTAAAGGTATCATTTAATTCCAAAGCACTAGTTTCCAGCCTGCTGCAGAAATCATTGGGTTTAGAATTGGAGAACTTCAAGCCCTTTCCAAATGGCGTGCTCGGTATCAAGGTATTGGTTTGGATGAGAAGTTATTGGATAACGCAACTGAAAATGCTGGAATGTTTCTAATGCAAGTTGAACGATTTATGAGGGTTTTGTGTACTGTGGCCCAGCAAGTATGGCTTTGTTTATAGTTCTCTACTTCTCTTCTTGTTTCACTTCAATGTTGTTATCATTCTGATTGTCTTTACGTCAGTTTTCAAATTTTTTCAGTTGGCTTCTGAAATCTGTGAAGATACTGATGTCAGAACAGAGTGATCAGCTCTATCCTTTCAGCAGGTTTAAAATCCAATGTTGATATGCACTTACTCACCTCTTAACCAGTTTTCTAGAAGATTGAAAATGTATGTTAAAAGTTCAAAATTTCTATATTTCTGTGTTGAGATCCTTTCTATTTTATTTTAGCAGTGAACTTGTCATTATGTTTCTCAAGTTTCTCTATGACCAAGATCCTTTAAAACAGTTGCTGGAATTGCCTGAAGGTGACCATGTCATAGAAGTAGATGTGTAAGTTTTGTTTTCAACCACTTTAAACTTGAACATAAGATAATGGTTTACTATATTCAGCTCAAAACTTCATTTCTTCCATACAGTTCTTATTAATGAGCCCTGGTTGGTGAATATGCAGACATTTGTGGGGGGGGGGTCTACAACACATCCATGCTATTCTTAAATTTATTTCCACATTTTTTTTGTTAATCAGGGAAACAATGCAAAGAATTAAAGAACTGTCACATTTCGGTGGATTCTCAGACACTGCATTCTTGAGAAGGACATTAGCGGAAGAGTTTCAACAAATGGAGTGTTGGTACACACTCTTACCTCTCTATTGTCGTCTGAACATTCATATTGCTGTGTTGGCATCTTCTTGCATTTAGTCTTTTTACAAGAAGCTATTAACTCAGTAACAGTAGTCTAAACAGATTTGTAGGTCACCCATGAAATCGGCCTGCGTGCTTGAAAAACACGCGTTACATATATGGTTAGATTTTTTTCCAGTAAATCTGCATTCTGAAGGATGATACACTATTATTACATCCCCTTTTGATATGTAGAAATATGTATCACATATGCCATCCTAACACTTCTGTATTCTTATAAATAGGCCTGTATCCCTGTAATGGTAAGGAAAATATTATCAAATAAACATTTTCTTCTTGTTATTTAGAGTACCATATAATTTTTCAAATGTTAAAAGTGCGCTGAACTTACTGGAATCTTTTTCCTTTAGGGTCAGGTTGGATAATGGGGTTTGGAGGGGATGGGTTTGAATGGGCAAGCCTATATTTTGACATATACTCTGGGTATTTGAGAGTATATAAAAATTGAAGGTACATAAGAAATAAGAGGTGATCATATAACATTTCAATATCCATATATTCATTTTTAGAAACACTCTACGCACTCCTTCCTAATAAAAGAAACATCCTTCTAGAGGTTGCAAGTTATTATTTATTAATCGGCCCGGTTCTAGTGACACCGGAGAACGGTGCCACTAGCGGTGCCACTGGGTTTTTGGGGCACCTCCGGTGCTCCGTTCGTAAAATTGACGGTTCCTANGGGGGGGTTACGGAGGGGTTGGGGTGGGGGTGCAGGGGTGGGGGTAGGAACCGTCAATTTTACGAACGGAGCACCGGAGGTGCCCCAAAAACCCAGTGGCACCGGAGTGGCACCGTTTTCCGGTGTCACTGGAACCTGACCGTTTATTAATACATCATCAACTCAAGGAAGGTTCGCCATTTAAGTCACAAGTTCACATTTTAAAGTCAAGATACTAGAGGGTGCAACTTTTTAATTCACCGTCAACTCAAAGCACGGAAAGTACACCGTTTTTAAGGCATGAGTTCACATCTCTGCCTCTCCTCCCAACCCAATTATCCAGTTGATGGACCTGTGCAACAAGAATGTTTCTTTCTACTGGCATTGTCTCAAACTCTAAGTAGAGGCGTAGTGTTTCAAGTCTTCTTTTGGTAGTGAGTGCATTATTGAAAGTTCACTTAAAAATGAAAATTGAATTTTGAAACAAGATTCTTTTTGTGGACAATTCTTCTTTCTAAAAGAAAAACGTGATTCTTTCATTTTAAATTGATCTATTCTTTTCCCTCCAACACACTGCCCCCTCCCATAAAGATCCTCTGTCACCTTCTGTGTGTTTCTGTTGCCGGTCCAATAGTTTGTGGTGTAATTTCATGATATACAATTGGCAGTTTCCGGGATGCTTTTCAGATTCCGTTTGCTACTATTTCCAAGAGAATACAATGTAAGGGTCTGCTCCCTCTTTTTCCCATGGCTGCAACAAAACTTGATTCTCCCATTATCTCGGCATCTATTTCATACTACAAGGTACTTCCTGTGTATATTTTACCTTGAGAGCCCGTTTGGTCGGGCTGAAATTATTGAAGTGGCCTCATTTGAAATTGTCTGAAATGAGTGAAATAAATTATTTGATGAATTAAAGCAATATGTTTAATGTATGGTGATGAGCTGGGCAATACTGTTGATCAGCTAAACAAAGCCAACCAAACGGGCTATTATATGTTTGTAGACCTCATGAAGTTCACCTCTTTGGTTGTGATTTAGGCTGTTTTCTGGATTTCATCTGGCAGCCATAATCTGTTCTTCTATTGCTGCAGGACTTACATGAGGTTTCTGGTTATGAAACAAGTCAACAGAGTCTTATTGACTACATTTCCTTCAGAGTGCCTGATATTTCCAACCCAAATATGTCAAATTGCATTGGCATAATTAGGGGGGCCATACATGATATGGGCAATTCAGATAATGGGCAATCTTCATTAGAAGCTTCCCTCCTATGCATTCCCAGTGGCTACCACTGCGTCGATTTATCATTATATAAGGTAGTATTTTTTTTTTACCAATCATCTTGTGAGCATTGAATTTAAAGCTATTGGTCTTCACTTTATGAATGCAACATAACATTTTGCCATTTAAAACAGGATGCCCAACTTATTTTACTGCTAGACCAAATTACCACTGGTTCTGAGGGATCTGGAAATGCGTCTATGATGCTTCTCCAAGCTGGAGACCTCCCATTTATATCTATTTCAAGATCTTTAAGCCCGGACTCATGGATCGTTCTTGAAATTAAGGTAAAATAAAATGTAAATGTTTTTTGTTCACTTTAATGATTGGCTTTGTCTTGCAAAATATACTCAATTCATATTCCATTTTAAATAAAAACATAGCATCAAAGAGTATTAATAAAATATAATGTAAATTAATTTCAGTTCACTTTTCTGCAGGATCAACTCATGCAACTGGAACTGGGAAGTGAAAAGGTTCGGGGTATACCTCACTCCGTCATACAGCCGTTTGCAGTAAGCGGTGAGTGATGTTATGTTGATTTTTTTTTTTCAAGGTTTGAACTTTGAAGTATATACTTATAATAAAGATGTTTTTGTTATTGTTTGAATTGCTCATTCGTGTTTCTTTAACAGCTACAAGAGGGGTGGCTTGTGTTTTTTCTGCAAGAAAGCGTGCTTTGGTTTACATCCTGGATGAAGATGAAGAGGACGACGATGAAGATGACGCAGAATGAAGACACCATATTGTGTTTCATGTAAAATTTCTGTACATTTTTCCTCTTTTAGTATAATATGTAATTGTGTAAAAGCCAAGCAGCCACACAATGATATTTGGGTACAATCCCATGTAAACTGAAAGAGTCAAAAGCATATTTATTGGCATATATTTAGTGTGAACTGAAATTTTCAGCAATTGTAGCTGTGGTAAAATTTCAGTTTTACCAATAGCTGTATCACTTCTACCATCATTATAGATATCGGAGTATTTTTTTAAATTTATTTTTTGAAAAATATCGTATACTCTAGCAAAAAACTCCATTTTTTTCTTTTTCGCTTGTTTTAAAAAGAATTCCCTTCAAAGGAAACGATAATGTAGTTCAAAAAATTCTCTTCTCAATAAATTTTTGCTACTCCATATTTTTTTCACTTTTTAATATTTATTTTTTCAAATTTCTTCTAAGACAAACATAGACTTTTTTTTAGATGGATGTAATATACACAACATTTTTGGCATAATATTTACAATCTTAGTAAATCAAAATCACTCGAGGGTAAATTTAAAGAAGCTTGTGTGAGAATGCTTTATTCATTTTTTCATCCAAAAGGGAAAAGACTTAATGACACAAAAACTAGCTAATTTCATTTCCTAAAAAAATGAAAGAAGAAAATGCAAGCATTACACATTCACTATTACAGTAATACTCCAATTTCTGAGCCAACAACACGCACCAGAAGAAAAATTTTGGAGAGCCATAGAGAGTCATATTCTGCTGAGAAAAACCTCATTTGGAACAGCATATATGACTCACTATGGCTTCTTTGGAAATGACATTTTCAGTTAGCGTTTTGGATAATGTTCTAATTGTAGAGATTAACTTTGAAAAATAGCTTTATCAAAACGCTGAAGCTATTGCCAAACAAGCACTACAAGTCGTCATCATCATCCAATTCAATAATCTGTGCTCTCCTCCTCTCAGCAGCTTTCTTCCTGATGAAGATGCCCCATCTCAATGCTGCTTTCAGCTTCAGCCACCCCACAACAGCTTTTCCCGAAGAAGATGAAGACGAAGAAGATGAAGAAGAACGTGGCCTCCGGTACTCTTCCCCATACCCAAATGTCAATGATGGCATCACATTGGGCAATGGTGACATCATCGTCCCCGTGTACTCCAATGGCAATGCATATGGGTCGTTGGGGTTTCTGTAACACCCTTCTTCGCTGACATCATTGTCGTGATTATTCTTATTATTATTGAAAGCATGACTGTAGTGGCCCCCACCCATGCTGAAAACGCGGAGAAGGTGCTGCATTTCTTCATTCTCAAGCATCTCATGACTCCTCATCCGTATTTCTTCCTCTGTCAAGAAATTATTATTATTGTCACAAGCAAAGTTTGATGTGGCTGCAGGAGTTTGAAAGCTCTGAGACGTCTGGGGAAATCTACTAACAGCCACCACAGTCTGTCTTGATGTGCCAACGGACTGATTCTCAAATGTATCATTTATGTGATTCATGTTGTGATGAGACTGTGTCGCAAATTTCCAACCTGAACTGTCATTGTACCCTGATGAAAGATGAAATAAAAAGGTTCACATTAACCAAAATTAAAAGCCACCCTCGTTGGTAGAGTTTATAACTTTGTCTGAAGCTCCAAATAAACTATTAGTCCTGTTTGATACCTAGAATAAGAGCTTACAAATAAGCTATTATTAACCTTTCAGAAATAAGTGTGTAGCTGTTTTTTTTCATGAATAACCTTTTACAGAAATAACAACATTTGTTCTCTGTAATAAACGCAAGCCATGTTTTTTTTACACTAATAAGCTGCTCAACAACGAATTTCACAAAAGACTTCTCTAAGTGGTTTAAGCTCCTTACTGCTAACTTAGAGCTTTTAGCTAGCTTTTTATCTCCTCATCCAAAACAGATCCTTGGTGTGTGTTTAGTATAACTTATTTTGGGAACTTATAACTTACTTTAAGCTCTATATAGACTAAGATATTGAAATAAGTTCATACTTGAAATGGTATTAGTTTTTTGGCCTTGAAAAACAAGCTCCTACTTTTAAAAATTTGTTTCTACTAATAACCTAATTCTTTTCTCAAAATAACCTACTTTATCTATAAACCAAATTCTATACCCCTTATGTCTTTTGACCAAACTGTAGTTTTAGAGCTTACAAGATTCAGCTCCTAGCTACATACTTTTGAGCTAATCATGCCAAACAAACCCTTAGTTGCCACAAAGTCACCCAAAAATAAAGCAGACAATTCACTGCAAAGCAAGCAAGTTTTATCTGAACATCTTTTTACCTCCCATGTGTGGTGGTCCTGCGGCTGCACGAAGCTGCTTTGAAGGAATTGTTGAAGATGGGAGAGTTGGTAGGTTTTGGTGATTAGGGAAAGAGTATGAATGGTTCTGTGAGGCAAGTGTGGGACCATTTGGAGCAGATACTGAAGTCTTATTGTCATTGAGGATTAACAGTGATTTGCCATCATATTCAATCACATGCATCCAGTTATCATATGCCTTCTTCACTAAGCCGTCCACATACACCTGCAAAAAAAGACGATCCTGTTCTCTTAAGAAACCTGGGTTGCGATGCTAATTCTTTCAGTGTATGTTTGGAATGCAGAATTTTAGGGAAAAAGAAAAAAGGATCTAAGAAAAATAGTGTTTATGTTTGGTTTTGCCTGAAAATATGAAAGAATATTGGATTTGATCAAAAAACATGTTTACTTTTGAATGTATTTGGATTTCTCAGTCTTATATAGTAGAAGTATGCTACATAAATACAAATGAGGTGGCGGAAGATGGAAGACATATGATGCAAATATATCAGAATGAGAAGGTTGCATGCACTCAAAGTTTGAAGCAAACCTTTTGGCTTTCAGAAAGAGAATCAATGGAACGATAATTTCCTCCAGCAATCAATCCGCACAGTTCATAGACATTGTTAAAAACAACCCCAACATTCCTCGTGTCATCGGCATAGTACACATAGAGTTTACCACTTAGAACACATGTTTTTGCATGCTCCACAAGAGTATCCCACATCTTATTTGACATTCCACTTCCAAGGATCTATGTTAATAATAATAGCAAAGTAAAAATCAAGCAAATTTAATTTTTCTCAACAGAAGAAAAATAGTTGAGTATTATTATTATTATAATACTTACACTTCTAAGCCTCCCCGTGTCTCTAACAACAAGCCGTAGAAAGTCTTCCACCGTATATATTCCAGATTTGTTTAGCCTCTTGTGAAAAGATCCGTCCTTTCCTATCTTTTCCAACCTCCAAACTTCGTCATTCAATGATGGTGGATAATGCTTCTTGTACACTGCACATGATGAAAAATTGCCCATTATTAGTTTATAACATTAATAATATAATAGCTCAGTTTTACTTACAAAGGTGAAATACGCACATTCTCCTCTGTGATCTTTGACAGTAAAGGCTTCTGTTTTAGCCTCCCGAATCCGACTTTTCTCACAATAATCCCCCGAATGTGCAACCTTCACACCTAATCTAAACTTTCTGCTTCTAATCCAGCTAGAATTGTCAGTAAAGGTCAATTCACCAAGGGTGCCTACCCCTTCTTTTAAGGTCACTTGCAGGTCCCCTGTTAGAAGCGGCCTCTTCCCTTCACGCTCTTTCACTATATGAGACTCAAATTCTTCTTGACTCCACCCTTCCTCATCTTCATTGTCAAAATCTCCTTCAAGTACAATGATGTCCAGTTTGACTGAGGATTCCGGACCTGATGTCACAACACGTCCGGTTTTTCCATCAAGCAAAACAACATGAATGGCGGATCCTTGTTCTCCCTCTATCTTTCCTCCTGTGAAGAGAGGTAAGGACAGTTTGGACCTGAAGTGGAGTTGTAAGCTTCTACCATCTGGTCCTTCTATTCTTTCTGGAGAAACCCTGTTCCATAAGCATAAAAACTCAATACCTGGCACCCTAAGTTGGAAAAATGGATAATTTGCCTAAAAAAGAGTTGGATTTTGAGCATTTTTTTTATCCCACAAAAAGTTTTTTTTTCCGAAACAAAGTTAACTTTTCTTGTGGTTTGTGATAATTCATCCCAAGTTGCATATAATCGATTTAGTTAACCCTAAAAAGGTTGTACATAGTTCAACATGACTCTTTTTTGTGATTTCAAGAGCACTATAACTAGTAGATCGAGTTCAAGACAACAATGTAAAACACTGAAATGAAATCACCACCTTATAAGATTCAACACGTGCAAAGAAAATTTGTGCCCCAAAATAGTATTTGCACTGAAGCATACCTTGAGTTATGTTTGGCAGGGCACAACTTAGCTAAAGCGCGCTCCACTTCTTCACTTACCTGATACATAGAAGTAACACGTAGTGAATTATTTAGCTCAACAAGAAATCTCATATTCATTTTCTTAAATACCCGTAGTATAATGTAACATTACATTCGACGACAACCGACCCAGTGGTATAATGTAATATACTAGTATCCAAGAAATTCAGAAAAAAACATTTAAGCTTCGCAGTGAATTTTGGGAAAAGATGAAATTCATAATACTTGCGAGCAAAACTGATCTGACCTTTTAATGTAATTAAATCATAGAAAACATACAGATTTGGACAAGGCCAAGAATCTTACAACTCTCCGAAGAATTGGCTCCAATGATGAACAAAGCTTTTGCATACTGTCAACCTTCAAGGCTTCAACAATCACACTGCACTAAGCACCCAATTTTCATTAACAAAGGAAAGCTAAACTCACTTCAAATTCCCTAATGAGACACAAGATTCATTACGTTAAAGCGCACTCAACAATTCGATCGTGGCAAGATGCAGTCATACTTTGCATTTAGCAAAATCAAGCGATACACCCTATATAAACATCTCTATGAATTTTCTTTTTGCATATTAGCATACACATATGTATGCTAGATGAGAGAAACCTAATTCAAGAGCCAAGTGTACATCACAGTCCACTACTTCATCAAGCAATTCAATAAGATGAGAGAAACCCAATTCAAGAAACACAGAAATTCAACTATAAAAAGGAAAAAGATTTGATCTTTATGATTTAGAAAATCACACTGACATGAACAGAAGAAGGGTAGAGTGGTAATTTGAAAATTACCTGGCCAAAGCAGGGCGTTTTTGAGGAGGCTGAGCTTCTTCAGTGCAACTGGGATTGAGTGGCCGTTTCTCCCGGGCCATGCTACCAGATCTTTCCATGTACCGTGTCTGCATTTTCCCAGACAAACTAACACTCACCCAATTCCAAACCTCGTCTTCAAGCTCGATATCTGAATCTGGAGCTCGTGAGCTTTGATTAATGGCAGTATATAAACTGAAAGGAACCGGCAGTTGGAAGGAAATAAATAATCGAAATTCATGGAGGGATGAAGGATTCTTAACGGATAAAGGATTGAGGGAGCGAAAGGGAAAATGGAAGAAAGCGGGAAAGAAATCTGAAAGAACAGAGAAAGGCGGTGGTGCTTTCCGAGAAACATCAACTGCAGCATCTTAGTGCTTTCTTTGTGTCTCCCATCTCCTAATAAAACTAACCGGTTTATTCAATCTAGTATTTTTTTAGATTTTAAAAATATGTGTGTATTTAATTCACATTTAAAAAAGTTATTTAAAATATGAATGTATTCAAATCAGATTTTAAAATATTCTTCTAAATTTAATGGTATTCACAAATCAATATATTTTAAAAGATTTTTTTAAAATAAAGATTTTGATGGATTGTATGCTTTGGCTATAAATTAAAATCTGAGTCCAAAGTCAGACAAAAAAAGTAAAGATTTTGCAAAATCCAACTGGAGCAGATCCTGTTGAAGTCACCGGCAGGAGCCTCTTTCCTATGATATTTAACCCAAGTGTCTTGAACTCTTGAGTCCTGACACCTCCATTTCAATTCCTATACTTGGAAAATGTATCTCCTTCCATAATCTCTGATTTCATGTATGGCAGTAGTAATTCCAATCCCATTGTGCTGCCCTATCCAACAGGTATCACAGCCCTGACCCCAAATCGATGGTTGATTCTAGATGGTTGATTCCAAAGTAACCCTTCGTTATCATCAAATTGGCGGAGACTACCTTTTGGAATCATCCCATTTCTCATCTGTTTCTTCAGTGCACCTTCAGAGGCCGTACGGCCGGAAGAAGTGAATTTGGAATGTTGGGACTAAGCCTCTGCTGGGTGGCCGCGTAATTGCATCTAAATGAAATCGATGGTGGCGACGGAGGCGGCAGGGCAGTGGCAATGAATCAGGCGGGGAAGAAGATAGATAGCCGCTAAGGTTACTGAGAAAGAAGAAGTAAAAAAGAAAAAGAAAAGGAAAAAAGAAAATAAAAAAAGGAAAAGATACCCCATGGATTATAAACAATTCTTCATAATCTAATAATATCTTGCTAATAAAATACATTAAAATCTATCAAACTTTGCATAAACTTAAAATAATCTATTCAATTTATGGAATTCATGAATTTTAAACAATCTATTAGAATCTTTTAAAATTTAAATTGGATATACCCACCTAAACCTATCCATTTTGTCTGTTTGTGGGATGGGAAAAGGTAAGAAATAATGTGTCCCAAGAAAGTATTGTGAGAAATTCATACTCCCTAAAGTGGGGGGTTACTTATGTCCTTTCATAGTTAATCTTACACCGTGTTTGTTTGGAGGTAGGGGAAGTAGAGATAAGTAAATTTAATATTTTACCTTGGTAAAAAAAATTGTGATAGGTCAATAGAGGTAGTTGGAGGTAGCAGAAGGTAGGATTACCTCTCAATAGTATACTTTTTTGGAAACCGTCAATTTGGCGAAACATCAAGGTCATAAACTATTTTCCGCTGCTATCCTCTCCTTCATTCACAGAGCAGAAAACATGTTATCATTTTCACGGTTCTTATAGCATCGTCATCCAATCGCAGGTAATTTCCGATCTTCCCCTTCCCCTCTGTTTTCGATTGTTACTTCAATTAGCCGATCCCCTCGGTTTCGATCTTTACTTCTGCTCCCTTTTTTTTGCAGCACCCCTTTTTTTGTGACAGCCATAGTCATCCAATCGCAAGTAATTTGGGATTGGGTTTTTTCTTACTGCACCCATTTTTTTACTCTGTTTTTTCTGTAATTGTTTACTATGCTCCCATTTTTTTCTGTTTTGGGATTGGGTTTGATTGTTGCGGCACCCATGAGTTTTACTCTGCTCCCATTTTTTTCTATTCTTGTTTTTGTGGTTTTTTCCGTTCTTTTTTGTTTACTTTTTTCTGGGTTTTTTCTATTTTTCTACAATTGTGCAATAAAGAAAAACAACCACAAGGATATTTTAGTAATTTTATTTTTTTCCTACCTCACGTTCCCTAATAAACATCCAAACACAATTTTTTAACTCATTACCTTACTTTACCTACCTTCAATTAGCTACCATTATTTACCTAATAAAACTTTTACCTACCTCCAACCAAACATACCATTATACTCACCAATATTAAGGTGGTTAAAATAGTACTCCCTCCGTCCCACTCTTATTGTCCACTTTCATTTTTGCACACCATCCAATGCACTTCTTTAATCCATTTTATCTTGTAATTTGTATATTAAAAAATTATAAAAATTATATATTAATAATCTATATGTTAAGACAAATCAAACAAGACCACACATGACTATTTTTATACTTACACATTGAGAGAATTTGATAAGTCAAAGTGCTTAAATGAACAGTTCCAAAAGTCAAAACTGGACAAAAAGAGTGGGACGGAGGTAGTATTCTACAATTGAATTTATTGCAAAATACACACTCTATTTTTTTAAAAGAAAAGTAGAGTATTTTTGGAGTATGTTAGATTCGTTCAAAACAATAATTTTTCTCTTTTTCTAAAAGATTGTCACAATTTAACTTGCTTTTTTATAACAAATTATGAAAAATATATATTTAATAGCTCCGTATAATTTAAATCTAATAAAATTAGATTTATTTTTTAATATAATTTGAAATATCAAAACTTTATAATATTAAATTACTTTAAATTATATTTAATTTGTGATCAACTCGTGTCACAACTTAATCAAAAAAACTAAAGTGTGATAATAAATCTTGTAGAGATTTATGTGAATTTTGACAATTTTGAGTTTGGCGTACAAAAGCAAAAATCCAACTAAGAAAAGTTGGAATCTTTGCTTTGTCCAACGGCCACTCCAACGTGAAACAGTCAATGACCGGAACAGTGTTCCACCGGTTGCTGGGGTCCACAACATCATCGCGCGTTAACAATCCGCCGGTCATCTGAGACACCGGGCACTCCAAGGCAAAGCCAAAGCTCCAGACGATCTCAGTTGTGCGAAACCCGGTTTGGATCAAATGGACCCCGGGGATATGGTTCTCTCCGACCGGGTCAGAATCGACGGCACTGTAACTCAGGTGACGCTAACGACCGGCGGCCAGCTCCGGTGGCCCGGCCGCTGTCTGGTTATAAAGAAGGAGGTCCTCTGCTTCTCCGTTGAAGGATCACAGATCAAAATAAGGGCTATTGTGGAAAGAGGAGCTGGAATCTGCTGCGGCGGCGGCTACACATCGCCTCTTCTCAGGAAAACATTCTCTTTAGATTTCGAGTCCATTTCTGAGGAATCTCTCAGGCTTTGGAGTCATAAACTCCAAGAATTCATGGATTCTCTGGGTAAAGAATCTAAAGATCAAAACTTTGTTTTGTTTTGTTTCGTTTTCTTTTATTTAACTGCTAGTTATGGTAGTATACAGATCGTTCACTTTCCAAATCAATCTGTATTTATTCTTGGTTACTTTCTTTAAATCCTCGCCGTGTTCTTTATTTATCTCATTTCGATCTGTTTTTTTTTCATAATTGGGATTTGTGTGCTAATCAGGCCGGCCTAAAAGGCTGTTTATATTTGTGAATCCATACGGAGGAAAGAAATCTGCCTCTAAGATTTTTCATGATGACGTAAAACCACTCCTTGAGGATGCAAATATTGAATATGCATTGCAAGGTTAGAAGAACTAGACTTTCACAATTATACCTTATGAATTCTTATCCGGGCATAACCCTTTTTTTTTTTTTACGGAGTATATTTAAATGGTTTGTATTCAGAAACAAGATATCAACTCCATGCCAAAGAAGTTGTTCATATCTTGGATCTTTCAGAGTACGATGGAGTCGTTTGTGTTAGCGGAGATGGAATTTTGGTTGAGGTTGGTTTGTTATTCCATAATCATTCCATACTGGCATATGAGAACCGTAGCATTCATAGGCGCCGATGGCTCAACGGGATTCAAATTTTAGGATTGCCACCCACCAGTGGCTGCTGCAATGATCTTCATGTTCCTTCATGCCTTCTTTTTTTTTTGAAATTTTTAGTAGGTAGTTAGTGGACTGCTTGAAAGGGAGGACTGGAAGACTGCAATTAAGACATCCCTTGGAGTAATACCTGCAGGTCTTTTGCTTTTGTTCATTATTTCCATCTTTCTTGTTCGCGTTGCTTAAGTTTTTACCAGTATATATCTATACCTGAAGAAGGGATCATTGCACACAGGATCTGGAAATGGGATGGCCAAATCTCTTCTAGATTCAGTAGGAGAGCCTTGCAATGTTTCTAATGCAGCTCTTTCTATTATTCGAGGTACTAGGGATTTGCGTGTTCTTTCTCTTCCATTTTTTAAATTTTATTTTCCCATCTCCACTCTGGTGAAACGTAAACAAAAGTTTTATTTATGTTGAGAGGCTTTCCACAGGCCACACGAGAGCACTAGATGTAGCTACCATTTCACAGGGGCGGACCAAGTGTTTCAGTGTCTTGTTGCTTGCTTGGGGTATATATTACTATCAACTATCTTCTTAGCATGTTCTTTTTTTTATTCAGCCCAATAGCATTTATAATTCCGAGCTATTAAAAAACTAAAAACTCCACCTTTTTTCCAGGACTTATAGCTGACATTGACATTGAGTCTGAGAAGTACAGGTGGATGGGCAGTGCTCGATTTGAAATTTATGTATGCAAGTTTTTTTTCCGGCACTCACAGGTTCATCCTCTTTCTTCTCTTCTTTCGGTCTTCCCCAGTTCCCTCCCTCCTCTTCTTCTTTCTTCTTCTTTTTTTTTGCTTCCATACAGCCCCACCTCCCCCCTTTTTTTCTTTCTTTCTTCTTTGCTTTGATCCAGCCCCACCTTTTGCTTCTATTATTTCTTCTTCTTCTTCTTCTATTATTATTATTATTATTATTATTATTATTATTATTATTATTATTATTATTATTATTCAGATATGTATAATTACTGCAACTTATTATTGATAAGTATAATAATAATAGTAATAATAATAATAATAATAATAAGTTGATAGCAACTTATTATTATACTTATCAATAATAAGTTGCAGTAATTATACATATCTGAATAATAATAATAATAATAATAATAGAAGAAGAAGAAGAAATAATAGAAGCAAAAGGTGGGGCTGGATCAAAGCAAAGAAGAAAGAAAGAAAAAAAGGGGGGAGGTGGGGCTGTATGGAAGCAAAAAAAAAGAAGAAGAAGAAGAGGAGGAGGGAGGGAACTGGGGAAGACCGAAAGAAGAGAAGAAAGAGGATGAACCTGTGAGTGCAGGAAAATTGGTTTAACGGAGGGAGGGATGGAAAGTCCCTCCAGAGTCAGTTTTCCAAAATTCTAGGGTACCTGTGAGTATGTTTTGAAAACTAAGGGTACCTAGTAGTTCTTATCCCAAAATATAGGGTACCCATGAGTGATTTTCTGTTTTTTCGTGGCTCGATTTCAAAAATTTAATAAAAGAAGAAGGCGAAGAACTAAGGAACTAAAACGGTGCCCTAGATTTTCAGGGTATTAAACGGAAAGCCAGTCTTAGAAGGTATAAATGGGTGTATAAGGTTTGTGGCGGCACCCGGTCATGAAGTTCACGGAGAGCCCATCAAGCCACCCAACGTTTATTCGAGTGATGGCCCAAAATGTGGCTACCGTGGGCCCAATGTCGATCCACAACATAATTCAAACTGGAGGAAGATTGCTGGTCCTTTCATCTCGGTCTGGCTCCACAATGTACCCTGGGGTGCCGAACGTACTATGGCTTCACCTAATGCCAATGTAGGTTCTAATTTGCACCGTTTCCATTAAAGTCATCCAAATTATACCTCCCAATTTCATGAGTTGTATGCAGTTTTCAGACGGCTGTTTGGACTTGGTTCTGATTAAGGATTGCCTGAAGTTAGCGCTGCTATCGTTGTTGTCTGAATTAAATAATGGAGGCCATGTCAAATCCCCACACATGTTGTACATCAAGGTACAAGTCACTCCCTCTACCCCGCAAAAAAAAAGAATCATGTTTTCAACACTGCCAAAAAACAGTCACATTTGAAACAAAATGTTATTCTATAGGTGAAGGCATTTGTTTTGGAGCCCGGTTCAATAGCGGAGGATCCATCCAAGGAAGGGATCATTGACGTGGACGGTGAGGTCATTACTAGAGGTAGAAGAACTTACAAATGGGAGGGGAAAACCTTAATGGCTTATGACAGGCTTCATATTGGTGTAGACCAAGGGCTGGCTACTATCTTTTCTCCTATTTAGGGTCATTTTTTTGTTAGTGGGTTTTATTTTATTTCCTTTCAAAAATGTGTGTTTTGAACTTATGTGAATCATCCCTCTTATACCCAAAAAGAATGCATACAAATGGATATCATAGTCTACTATGCAAAAACCTTACTTGAATAGGATGTGAAGGACTATAATCCAAAGAATTATGAGACAATATTTGAGTAGTAAATCATTCTCCCTCCCCACTTGAAATAATTTTCTCATTTTGGATCATGATGTTCTATTGAAGTTATTTTGAATTTATTTTATTGGAACATCGATATATAATTTTTTAAAATAAAAATTACATATTTAAAAAATATATTGAAAATTTTACAAAACAAATGGTAACTTAGGTAAATGTCTAACAAAAGACCATTTGGTATGAGGTGCGGAGGGAAGCGTTATCCTCCGGGCATTCCTCCCCATCATGCTTAAAATGTCGCACTGCCTCCCTCGTGACGAGGGCGTGATTCAAGGGGGTGATTGCCATCAGGACCCTCCTTTTTTTAAAAAAAATTGTTTAACCTCGAATTAAACAAAAGTTAACATACTTCCATCTCAACAAATCAAAATAATTCAAAATTTTTTATCTCACCAACCTCTTTCACATCCATCATATCACATATTTTTATTTTTCTATATCATATCTATTTACACCTCATCAAACCTCGTCAAACCTGGACATAACCTATGACCTAACATAAAATAACTTTTCGTTGGATGATAAGAAAAGTGAAAGAAAAAATATGCAAAATGAGAAAACACATATTATGAAATATTTTCTATTCTTTATTTGGTGAGAAAATGAGAGAAAAGAGAAAATTATAATAAAAAATTGTCTCCAACATAGGTTAGAAAATAACATCATCCTCTTCACCATAAATTTCTTATCTTTTCACTTTTACTTTTGGCTTTTTTTCTCTCTGTTTTCTTATCATTTTCTATTAATCAAAATACTAACTTTTTACCTCTTCATTTTCTCTCAATTTCGGTTCTTCTATTTTTTATTCTCATTTTCTTTCCTCTCATCCAAACAAACCATAAATGAAAATATTAAAAAAGGAGGGAGGATATTTCATTGGTCCAACCGTCACTCCAACTTCGAATAGTCAACGACTGAAACCGTGTTCACTTTTATCTGATAACCCGGAGCCGAGGCCGGTGCAAAGCCAAAACTCGAAACGATATCAGTTGTGTGTGAAACCCGGTTTGGATCAAATGGACCACGGGGAGATGGTTCTCTCCGGCCAGGTCACGATCGACGGCGCCTTAACTCAGGTGACGCTAACGACCGGCGGCCAGCTCCGGTGGCCCGGCCGCTGTCTGGTTATAAAGAAGGAGGTCCTCGGCTTCTCCGTTGAAGGATCACAGATCAAAATCAGGGCTATTGTGGAAAGAGGAGCTGGAATCTGCTGCGGCGGCGGCTACACATCGCCTCTTCTCCGGAAAACATTCACTTTCGATTTCCGGTCCATTTCTGAGGAATATCTCCGGCTTTGGAGCCATAAACTCCAAGAATATTTAGATTCTCTCGGTAAAGATCAGAACTTTATTATTATTATTATTATTATTATTATTATTATTATTATTATTATTATTATTATTATTATTATTATTATTATTATTCTGAAATTGTTAGTCATGGCAGCACACAGTTTGTTCACTTTTCAAAATCACATGTATTTTTTGTGGCTTAGCTTCTTTGATTCTTTGCCATGTTTCTTTATTATAATTGGGATGTGTGTGATAATCAGGCAGGCCGAAAAGATTATTTGTGTTTGTGAATCCGTATGGAGGAAAGAAATCTGCCTCTAAGATTTTTCATGAAGAGGTAAAACCACTCATTGAGGATGCAAATATTGAATATGAAGTGCAAGGTTTGAAGAACTAGACTTTCACAATTATTACATGCCCAAATGTTTTATGTTCTTCTGATATGAGTTCTTATCCAGGCCTTTCCCTTTTTGATACGTTTAAATTCAGAAACAAAATATCAACTCCATGCCAAAGAAGTTGTTCATAGCTTGGATCTTTCAAAGTATGATGGAATTGTTTGTGTTAGCGGAGATGGAATTCTGGTTGAGGTTGGTTTGTTATTCCATAATTATTTCATACTGGCATACGAGAAACGTAGCATTCATAGGCGGGGCAAGGGTTCCATTGAATTCAAATTTTGGGATTGGCACTGGTTACTGCTGCAGTGATCTTCATGTTCCTTCATGCTTTTTTTGAAATTTTTAGTAGGTAGTTAATGGACTGCTTGAAAGGGAGGACTGGGAGACTGCAATTAAGATATCCCTTGGAGTAATACCTGCAGGTCTTTTGCTTTTGTTCTTTATATCCATCTTTCATATTCGTGTTACATAAATAGTTTTTCCCCAAAAGCTAGTTATGGAAGATAATAATAGATCTTTGACGAGTATTAACTTTTATTCTCAAATTGTCTACCGATTACCTGATTTTCTTGCATAATTTCCATATTTATGGGGTACTATTTTTTTCGTGATGTTTCTTTTATGTGGCGGTGTTCTTGATAATATCGTCAGAGTTTTCAACCAGTATGTCTACAACTGAAGAAGTAATCATTGCACACAGGCACTGGAAATGGCATGGCCAAATCTCTTCTGGATTCAGTTGGAGAGCCATGTACTGCTTCTAATGCAACTCTTTCTATTATTCGAGGTACTAGGGATTTGTGTGATCTTTCTCTTCCATTTTCTGAATTTAATTTTCCCTCTTCATTTTGTTGAAATGCCAACTACTTTTTTATTTATTTTGCCTCAGGCCACAAAAGACTGTTAGATGTAGCTACCATTTCACAGGGCCAGACCAAGTTTTTCAGTGTATTGATGCTTGCTTGGGGTATCTATTGCTATCAACTGTCTTCTTATCCTGTTCTTTTCTTTTCTTTTTTTTTTGGAAGCTGTGATTATTCTGATCTATTATTAATAGCTAAAAAATACTTTAGTTAAAGAAAATAAAAACTTGAATTTTTTTCCCAGGACTTATAGCTGACATCGACATTGAGTCTGAGAAATACAGGTGGATGGGCAGTGCTCGAATCGATTTTTATGTATGTATTTCTTTAATATTCCATTTAAAGTGATACAAAATATATCATATTTGTAGTCCTCTTCCTGTTAGTTTGAAAAGAATCAATATACCATGTAAAAGACCATCTTCATTACTATCCCCTTAATCCCAACATTTCATAAATAGTTGACATTTGATACTGTTTGATACAGGCTCTTCAACGGATAGTCTTTCTTAGAAGGTATAATGGCTGTATAAGGTTTCTGGCTGCACCTGGTTATGAAGTTCACGGGGAGCCCATCAAGCTACCGGATATTTGTTTGGGTGATGGCCCAAAAAGTGGCTATTGTGGGCCAACAGTCGATCCACATAATTCAAACTGGAGGAAGATTGATGGCCCTTTCATCTCCGTTTGGCTCCACAATGTACCCTGGGGTGCCGAACATACAATGGCTGCCCCTGATGCCCATGTACGTTTTAGTTTGTTCCATTTCCATTCAAGTCATGCATACCATTTATACTCCGAATTTCTGTTCTTTGATCTTTCCAATTTCGTATGCAGTTTTCAGACGGCTATTTAGACTTGGTGTTGATTAAGGATTGCCCGAAGCTAGCGCTGCTATCATTGTTGTCTGAATTAAACAATGGAGGCCATGTTAAATCCCCACTTGTGTTGTACATCAAGGTACAAGTTCCTCCCTCTACTCCGATAAAACAAAAAAATCATATTTAAAACGTTGTTCTTGTGCCAAAAAGGAGTCCCGTTTGATCAAATGAAGTAATCTTTTTTCAAGAATAGGTCAAGGCATTTGTTTTGGAACCCGGTTCAGTAGTGGAGGATCCATCCAAGGACGGGATCATCGACGTGGATGGTGAGGTTCTTGCTAGAGGTCGAAGAACATACAAGTGTGAGAAGAAAACCTTAATGGCTTATGACAGGCTTCATATTGGTGTAGACCAAGGGTTGGCTTCTATTTTCTCTCCTATTTAGGATCCTTTTTTTGTGGTTAGTGGGTTTTAATTATATTCCTCCAAAACTATTAATTTTTTTTATATTTGTGAATCATCCCCTTGTTTCCAAAAAAAGAAAGCATACAAATGGATATCAAAATGTACTATGTAAAAACCTTACTTGAATACAATGAATGTGAATTACACTTTGTATATACAATTTTATATGTCAATGAATTCACACTGTATTTATATAATCGACAATTAAATTTTTCTGGGTGATGGAGCTCGCGGCATAGTATTTTAACATGTTTCAAAAGGTTTCATCAAGGAGAAAAACATGTAGTAATACTTGTTATATATTTTTATACACCATACTTCTCCCTCTCTCTCAAGATTCTCCTCTTCGAGGTTTGCGTTCGACCATCGTAGAGACGAGATGAAGGGTTTTCCATTAATGAATTTCAATCCTCAGTATAAGTTCTTTGGTTAAATTGATTGTGAAACGGGGGATCTGAGGCGAATATACTAAGAACTTGATGTTGAGTAATAGTTCACCAGTGAATTAAATCAAAAACACATCAATCGACATAAAGAGTTGATTAATTAGTAAGTGATGACTCAATACGCAGTAATGCACAAACTATTTTAAGATTAGTCCGACGCAAGTTGAAAAATCTAATGTTCTAAAACAAAGGAAGTCACATATTAAAGAGAAGTCACATTATGTAGTTGATATATATTCAATAATGAATATTATCTCCATCCTTAAAAAAAGAATATTATTTTGTTCCGAAAAGAAATTTGGACTTTGACTTAAAATGTAGGTTGGAATGGTTTGGAAGTAAAAATTGTTACACACTTAAAGACGAGAGAATTGCAAAATTTGGAATGCTCGAAAAACCAATAAAGTATGAACTTCATTGCATGAGGAATGAATGTATAAAATATGAAAATATAGATGAATAGAAGTTTATTATATGAAAATATAATAAGCTTATTATATATGAAAATATATTTATAGAAGCTTATATGACCAAAAAAATATATATGACCAAAAAAATCGCTCAACGAATCAAACATTCTCTCTCTAGAAGCTTATTATTCCCCTTCCAACGACACCCGCTCACTTTCCCCTACCATCTCTAAGCATTCTCTCTTCCCACATAGACTATTCGCTTCCATATTCTTCCTCATTAGTGATGTTTGTAAAAAATATTACTCCGTAATAAATTAGAATGATTTGCCTTACACAACTAACACATATATGTATTTTTGAAGTTGTACTTAAAAGGAGTTTTTGAATTTCTATTTGGCTGAAAATCATTTTTGGTAACTTATAAACCTACTTCCACTAATGGACTTTAGATATAATTCTTACCAAGTTGAGGTTAAGAGTTTTTTTCTTTTGATTTATAATTAGAGTTTTTTCATTGTTTACTTTTGAACTTTCTAAAAATTGCATGAAATCTTCCAAAACTTCTTCACTCTAGATTTAAGTGTATGTTAATTACACAAAGTTTAAGAGGCATGAACTATTAATTTAGTAACAGTCGTTATTATCAAAATGAAAATAAAAGGCAGTGTCATCAGATCTTCTTCGACTCAAATTTTGTTTTGACGAATTAGAAAATAATCAAAATAATGGAGTATGGAGTAAATAAAACTAAAAAAAGAATGAACCCAAACCTCGAAGACTTCTTCAGGTCCGACCAAGTGGTCACCAAAAGGAGGTGAATTAAATTTTAATCGCAGATTGATGGCAGATAATGAAACATACACCTGATATTTGAAGAGATCATATATTGAGTATGATTGTTTCTCAATATAGTTGTCAGTAATCGAATTCGAGTTTATCATTTTAACACTCTTTGCCTTTCTAAACTCCACACAAAACTAAAAAGTATTGATAGGTGAATGTTGCAATGGCATGGAGCCATTGTTAAAGAGGGGAGAGAAAGGGAGAGTCAGTCACCATTCACCCCTAACCATTCACCCCACCAGATAACGCTCTGTTCTGTTTGTTTGTTGTCTTCAGGCTTCTTCCTTCGACCACCATTTCTTTTTGCTGTGCGGAGTGTTTTTTCTTTTTTCTTTTTCTTCTCTTTAAATACTGTGTATACCTATACATATACCTATACATACACACAGTACAGAAAATACAGGTACGTATAAATACGCGCACTGGCTGCCTGACGCACGCTCCATCCCTCACCTCCTTTCCTTCCCGTCCTTCCTCCAATGGCAGCCTTCAGTCACTCCTCCCTCCACTTTCCCACCTGCCTGCCGCTTTTTTAGGGTTTTACGCGAAGATGACGATTCCCGAGTCGACTCGGACTCGCACCTCGCTTGTCGTTATGCACATAATTATATAGTTCCGACTCCGAGGGGTGCTTTGATCGAATCGACTGCTTAGGGTAGGGTTGAACTGTGACGTGATGTCGCCATCTTCGTCCCACCAGCAGTCGAAGGTTTGCTTCAATTCCAACTGCAGAAAGGTTTCCGACCGGCAGAGAAAGGGCTGGCGCCGCCGCACCGGCGACTTCGCTGACCTCTGTGATCCTTGCGCGTATGTCTATTTTTTGTCCCCCCTCGGACCCCTTTTTGACTCGTAGGGAATGTTGGGGGTTCACATTTCTGTTTTGCCTTTAAATCTTTTATCATCTTAAATTTCTTTTTTTTTTCTTTTTTCTTTCCGGCATTGATAAATATGTATGGGAGCTAGTTCTGCTTATGAGGAGGGCAAGTTCTGCGAAACCTTTCACCCCACTTCTTCTGGCTGGAGGGCTTGTGAATCTTGTGGAAAGGTGCGCTCAAGTTTTCAAAATGATGAGATGAAAAAGACTTGGTTTTTTCAGAGTTTTGTTTTCTTGGTCATGAGGTTAATCACCAATCAAGTTATGAAGGGTGAAATTCACTGTGCAGAAAATACATTGTGGGTGCATCGTATCCTTCCATACGTTCGTACTGTTGGATGCAGGGGGGATTGAATGCATCACGTGCGCAAGGAAGAGTTTCATTTTGGTAAGGTTCTTCCCGTTTTGTTTTGTTAGCATTTCTGTTATTGGATCTTTGATTTCTTGGTTCGATTGCTTTCTTTTACTTCAAGCATTTGTAGTTCGAGCATATCTTTAATCGCATCCATTTTGATAAATTATCGTTAATATAGTTGCCTCATTGTCAAAATGCTTTCATTTCAAGTAAAACGACAAACACATTTGTAAATTCTAATTTATAAGTCTCAAACGGTACACCTAGATCCTGCAATTAAATTACATTATTTGACAAGTTATGGTTTATAACATGGTTTTCCATATTCGTTCTTGCCTATTGTATACACAGAAATGTGTTATTTGTCAAAAGATTCCTTAGAGGAACAAATAGTAAATTGATAATACTGTACTTGTATTGTATTCGCCCTATTTCAGACACCGAATCCTGCTTGGCCACCTCCTTCAAATTTTCATCCTCTGCAACCTGAAGGAAATAAAGATTCCAGAAGTTGGACTCCAATAGCTGGTTCTGGTCCAGTTCCATGGCGTCAAGCTCCAAGCTTGTTCAATGGCTCTGTCATTCAGACTGAGTTGCAGCCAAAAACACCATATGGTGATATCACCGGTAGCAAAGACAGACTTCAGTTCACTGAAAAATCTCCTCCGTCTTGTCTCAAGACTAAGGAAAAGGTTGACTCTTTTGGAATTTTGCTAAGCAAAAGCCTGAAGAGTTCCGTATCAGGAAAACTTGAAAAGGAGATTAGTGGTAAAATAATGTTTGCTTCACAGGATCTGGTTTTGCTAAAATAATATTTCTCATGATATATCATATGGAGTAGTTTTTTCCATTTAATTATACCAACGAGGTTTGAGTTTTAGGCTCAGTGAGTAGAATAATGTTTGCTTCACAGGATTTGGTTTTGCTGGAAAGCCTAACCCCTTTGCAAGTGTGACTCAACGAACAAACTCATCAAAGAACGGTTTTTCATCTCCTAGCTTTCAATTGACAATAAGTTCTACAGCTGGAAATGAAGGAAGTGATCTTAGCAAGGTCTTTGAAACCCAAACTCAACCAACTAAGCTTTCACCTCCCATGGGGAGGCAGTCATGGAGTCATAACTGCACGGATTCTTCTGGAGAAGTTCAAACGTGTAGTGGGAAGTTGCAAGGAGGTGTTGGAGCAAAGCCCCACCTCCTTTGTCGGTATTATCCACGGATTGCCGATCATGAACTGCAACAAATATCTGGGAAGTATCCTATAAGGAAGCGAATATTTAAAATTTTATGAAGCTTTTATTGATATATTTGAAGTTCCTCTAATTCTTTGTTCAGCCTAAAGCCACATTTACCTTTTGGATTTTATTGGAATCGATGCTCATTGCAAGAATGCAGTTCACTTTGTGCTCATGACCTTAACTTTGTGTTAGCACAAACTGTGTGATTACTCCTTTGTTTGAAAAGATGCTAAGTGCTAGCGATGCTAGCAAAGTAGGACGTTTGGTACTGCCAAAGAAATGTGCAGAGGTAATCTCCAATGCTAAACTATACATCATTTGACTTTGTTATACATTGGTTCCCTACAACTGGTGATGTTGCTCAAACTATATATCATTTGAATTATATATATTACATGACCTGCAAAATAGAATCCTATGGAAAGATACACTATTTGCGATGCTGATAAAGTTTTTTATGGCACAGGCTTATTTTCCACCAATACTCCATCCAGAAGGATTACCTCTCAAAGTGCAAGACCCAAGAGGGAAAGAGTGGGTATTTCAGTTTCGGTTTTGGCCCAATAATAACAGCAGAGTGTATGTTTTGGAAGGGTTCACTGCTTGCTTGCAATCAATGCAGCTGCAAGCTGGTGATATAGGTAATTCGTTGTTCAGAGATGACATCAAATCTTGGGGGGACCTTAGGGATACACACGGGTGTGTCCTTAAGGTATGATTTTTAAATTGTTTGATTAAGGAACATTTCTAGTTTTCTACAGTTATCTTTAATTCGTTAGGGACAATTTGTTGGGGCTATTTGTTTTTTTTAGAGTGGGTGAGTTGATTTTTGTTTTATATTGTAACTTATCGTAGAGCGTTCTCTTTTTCAGTAACATTCAGTAGGACAGAGCCAGAAGGAAAGTTGGTTTTGGGGTGCAGAAAGTATTCATGTGCTCCTTCAATGGACCAGGTATGTTCATATTATAAGCTTTCAGATTTGCTCGTTGTTCGTAGATCATAAGATGTGCGTTGTTCATTTTTTGCTGTATAATTTACATCCATCAATTTACCTTTTTCTTTATTGATACCTTTTTTTACAGGGACACGGAACCTCTAATAATAACTTTGGCGCTAAAATTGTAAAACTTGGCGAAATCTCTACAAAATGCTCTGCTAAATTTCATTTTGCATCACCCGGTGTTCCGGTAAACAACCAAGCACCTAGTATGGATTCAAGAAATAAATTGTCTGAATCAAATGAGTCAAATTGCATAAGTAAGGAGGTCTTAGAAACTAAGCCTCCTGTTCCTACTAAGAAACAGAATAACACCTTGAATCCCAAAAGCAAACGAGTGAGAATTGACAGTGAGCAGTCAATAGAACTAAACCTCACAGTAATGGAAGCTCAACAGTTGATGCGCCCATCTCCAAATGAAGCTCCAACCATCATTGTAATTGAAGGCTGTGACTTTGAAGAATATGAGGTGCTGTTTTTTATATTTTTTTTTTCAGCATTTCTTTTTTTTTCATTTGTTGGTTTATATTAATATACTCTTTGACATTTCTTAGTATTATATCAGCTTCGAGTTCATCCAAGAAACTAACGTTTGAAATTTCATCCCCCACCCCCTCCCTCTTTTCGTCTTCAGCATGAAGCTCCAATTATTGGAAGGCCTACCATTCCATGCACAGGCAATTTGGGGTTAGTGCTTGTCTGTTTTGACCATTCTTCTAACAACTTAGTGCACTGGTTGTCTTGTGAATTGTGATCCTTTTATACTTAACAACTTTTTTTTTCTGGTTTTTCAGTGAGAAGTTCCAGTGGGCTCAATGTGAGGACTGCTATAAATGGCGCAAGATCCCTTGTGATGCTCTTCTTCCAGCGAGATGGACATGCTCTCAAAACATATGGGATCTATACAGGTATGTCCGAGATTAATTGCCGACTTTCTTAAATGGAGTAAAGTTTTTGTTGTTGCAATATTCTATGTTTCATTTTTGAAGTGTTTTTGCATCTGGGTTTAGATCTGCGTGCTCTGCAGTGGAGGATGAGTTAACCCCGGAGTGCCTTGCAGGCTTTTCCCCAACCAATCGTAAAGGTACACACATTCGTGATGACCTTCGACTAAATCTCTTGAATAAATTGATCCTAAGTTGTATAAATCAGATATTAACTCTTTATTTGCTTAACTGTTACTCAGAAATGTTCTTTAAGAAGTGTGTGTATATATGTGATATAAATAAATGAACTCGGTCTGGTTTTTTTCGTACAGCAGCTAAGAGAAAGAAGGCTTCTCCTAAACAGGATATAAAGTCGCCTGACACTAGTACTAGTACTATGGCAGAAGCGCTCGCAAATCTAGCCATAGAAGAAGAAGAAGAAGATGGGGAAGGTGGTGGTGTGTCTGCATCATCATCTCAGGGACCCACCGTGAAGCACCCCCGCCACAGACCTGGATGTACCTGCATTGTCTGCATCCAGCCCCCCAGCGGAACTGCTCCCGAACACAAACAGCACTGCGAGTGTAACCTGTGCAAATCCGTAAGACTGCATTTCAAAACCGCAATGCCGAAGAAGAAAGGGACTGATAAGCTACTGGGGAAAGAAGTGGGACCTGCGGAGGCCGATCGCGACTCATTGTCTAGCGAGAGCTGTCGAGAGCAAACGCCGCCATCTAAGGGAGGAGGAATAGACCTGAATGTGAAGCCTGACTCCCCCGTCAACTGGCACCACGAGTTGACAGCTGGCAATTTGACATCAGTTGGACCTCATCATCAGGTGATAAATTTGAACGGTGGCGGTCCTTTGTCGTGTGGGGACCGCGACCTTCAAACGTTTGATACGGACCTGGAGGTCGGTGAAATTGTCAAGTTTTCTTTGGTGCATATTGAGAAGTAGAATAGTTAACTTTTTTTTTAAATGCATATTCATTCAATATATCTTTTTTGGCTTTGTGTAAATAGAAGTGAAGAATTAGGAACAGTGCACTGGCCTGTTTTTCTTCCAAAACATAGTGTCACCTCATTGTCTTGTTTAGTGTCTTTCCTTGCTGTCATAGAGGAATTATTTCTTCATAAATGCTTCACTATTAAGTCATTAGATTCATAACATAGGTCTCATAGAAGTGACTTTAGTAGCAATGAAAGTCAGTTTTGCTATAAGTTTCCAAAAGCTAAAAGACGAAAAGGGGGCGCTCCTTTATTGCTGGTATTAGATTGGTACTAAGAGCATATATCAGCAACCCTATCATCCCATATCCCACTTTGAGTGGGTCTAAAAGTATACATAGGTATTGAGTTGGACTTTTAAGAAAGTGGGACTCTTTCCTTCAAATCATAGGAAGAAAATATGAACATTATCCTAAGAATAGACTCGGAAGAGATAAATTGAAGTTTAATTTAAGACAGATCAATAAGAATGAGATTTCTTATTGATAAATTGAAGTTTAATATGAGTACAAAATAGGATAATGTACTCATATTGACCAATCAAGTTATGTCTTGACTTGAAACTTAGAGGATAAGTTTTTTATATTGGTTGGTCTGTCGCAATGTATGCGGCCCCACCACAAGAAATTCTAACCTTCGGTTTAATGATTTTAATTCTATGGATTACTCTGTAGTACATTTGTATCTGCTCATTTGGTAATATCCAACTTGGAGAGATTTTTCAAAAGTGATGGTACTAATGACACTAATCCGAGTAAAATTTTTAAATCTATTTTACGTGAAAGTATATAAACAGTTATTCAAACTCTAGACCTTTCACATGTATGTTCTTATTCATTTTCTCAATAACTTTTGATGCATACCCTAGAGTAGAGTACAATAGAAGAACTCAAATAAATACAGTGCTCTTTTTGTTCTAAAGTCACTGTCCATTATGATCTACATGATCTACATAAATTAAGATTTGAATGAATGTGGACACAATGTTTATTTAATTTTTAATGCATATAAACAATTGTCATAGACAATTATTTAAAGATAAAATAATTATTTTTTACTTCCATGCCCAATATCATGAGAGTTGAGCGAATCAGAAAGAGTCATGGATTTGGAGTTTTAAAACTATAATTGTTATCAGAAAACATTGAACTCTAAACCCCGAACTCCTAAAGACTTTGAAATACTCCAATTAAAGTCACACATTGCACATGGATCCCAAAGCGGGGAGTTTGTGTCCACGAACTCGATCTCCTTAGCAATTGTAATTTTTGCAAAATGTTATGTATACCCTACATTTGATACCAATTTTGACATTACATATACTCTCTCTTCCAGTCTTAATTGTTTTTCTTCAAGTTCTCTCCCCGTAGATAAAAAAGATGAAATTCAGAAAAAATTAAAGAAAAATAGAAGTGAAAGAGAGGTGTATTGTTAGGAGAACTAGAGGTGAAGCAATTAGAGTTGGAAAAAATGAGTATATATATAGTGCCAAGAACTAAACTCTATGTATAACATATCAACCAATTGTGTGATGGGATGGAACCCAAATCATTTTCCTTCATGCCTTCTTGGTTCGCAAATTTTTCTTCCCTTCCAGAAAGAGTTTAGTTCATTATCCACTCCATAATTTTTTTTCTTTTCTTTTCCTATTATTGTTTGTTAAAATAATATAATCGTAACATCTCTTGATCTAAAAAGACGAAATTAAAAATGAATTTGATTGTCGAAAAATCAACTCAATCAAAAATTCAAAATTGTGATTATATTTCAGAAAACAGCTCTTTATATTCTAACATGTCTTTCATGTGCAGATTTACTTTTTACTCGAGTCTTGCATATGATCATCAATTTTGTTTAAATTAGGTGGCACCAAGTTCCAAATTGGTGATCTCTCTCGATCAACAAGACTATAATAGTATGTCAAAAAATTAATTTTGCGATTGTTGCCCTAAAAAATAATTTTATATTTATACGCAATTTGACATTTGGTTATGAGATTAGTAACCATTTGTCACCATCGTAACTATATAGCTAAATGGGGTATCCTTTTTTTAAAAAAAAAAAGAACCGAGAAAAAAGGTGGTGTATATCAACATCTTTGTGAAAGGAACACTATAGGCGCGCGTTCGTTTACCAGCCATCTATAATCTAGTCAATGATGATCTATGACTAATCCTTTTTTTAAAAAAAAAAATTAAGAAGGGGAAAAGAAAATGAAATTTGTATCATCATACTTTGCCGGTGATTTTGACTCCAGTCCACACCTTACATTTCGCTCACCCCTCCGCGCCCGCAAAAGGACAAACCACACCATCCACCCACTCCCCCCCTCCTCCTTAATTTACAACCTCCCATAGAAATGCTACGTACTCTCCCGTCACCAGTTTATTTATTTACGGAGTACTCCCTCCGTCCTACTGTCTTTGTCCACTTTTGACTTTTGGAATTGTTCATCTAAGCACTTTGGCCCATCAAATTCTCTCAATGTGTAAGCCTAAATATAGTCATGTGTGATCTTGTAAGCCTAACATATAGATTATTAATATATAATTTCTATCATTTTTTAATATACAAATTACAAGATAAAATGGATTAAAGAAGTGCATTGGATGGTGTGCCAAAAGGTAAGTGGACAAAGACAGTGGGACGGAGGGAGTATTTATTTACTTATTTATGGTCTTCAATATTAAACTTTCATCACAATTTTCTTTGAAAATTTTGAAAAAAAAAAAGATATTCCATTTAAAAAATACTTATTGCAACAGTTTTTTTAATACCGTGTACAAGTAGTTTATCTCACTCTTAGGCTCTGTTCTTTTGGATTAGAATTTCAGAGTTAGATGTTAGAAGAAACCTGGAAGGAGTTAGAGGAATCGAAAAGAATTGAAAAAGGATGAAAGGAGTTGGAAATGTTGGAAAACTAAAATGTTAAAAAGTCACTCAATTAAATGATCACTAAAATAAATATGTTAGAAAACTCTAAATTTGGATAGAAGAAATGTCATTCATGTCCATGTTTGAGGTGGTATATTATACTTCCTCCGTCCTACAAAAAAGTTCCCATTTTGACCATAAATTAGTCAAACTGTTGCACACTTTGACCCTAAATTAACTATAATCTAAATAAAAAAATGCTAAAAAAATTTGAGATATCAACAAAACTAGATCCTAAAATGAATCCAATTATATAAAATTTATTTTATAATTCAATATACATTTTTCACAATTTGTAGTCAAAGCGTATAAATATTTGACTAAATACTATTCAAAATGAGAACTTTTTTGTGGGACGGAGGGAGTATATAAATTTGGATATATAATATTATTGTATATTTATCATATAAAAACGTGTGCTATTTTTAAGTGAATGAAAGAAAGCGGAACGAATTGGGAGGAAGACGAAAAAGTTTAGAAAAAACTAAAAGGAAAATCCAAGAATGTATAGTATGTTAATTTTTCCAATAAAAAAATAGTGCACTAATCACCTCATATAAATCAATACATACATTTACCAAAATACTAAACAGTCTTTTGAAGAGTATAGACGATTCTTTTCCTCCTTACAAAAATAAAAAAGAGGAAGAAAATCAAAAAGTACTGAGCTCTAATCATATGGTCATGCAAATATGTCGAAAATGAATGAATTGAAGCTAATTAAATGTGATGGATGAAGCTAATTAAGGACGAAAAAATGGAGAAATTACTTTATGATTAATTCAGTTAGCCCTGCGCTTGATCGTCTCCATGTACTGCTGTAAAGACTGCTGCCGCTGTATCCTCATCTCCTCGTTGAACTTCTTTATGAACGCTTCCACCCGCCGGTTCAACTCGTCCTGACTCAGAGACGGCTCCCTCCTTAGTATCATCACCCCCGGGCTCCGCGACGGCCGCTTCGCCACCACCTCATCCGCGGCTGCAGTTCGACGGCTCTGGCTCTGTTCACGATTCTCAGGGGCATCGGGTTTTTTCAGGCGCCTCGTGAGCTGCACGTGACTACGCCCTTCTGTTATCAATTTCCATGTGCTCTCCAGCGTCTCCAGCTGCTTCCTCTGCCTCGCCACCCTCAAACCTCTACCGCCACCTGCATCGCCACCGTAGTGTAACAAACTTTCAGATTATCAATGAGGTTAGTTAGATTAGCGCGAGTTTTGCGGCGGCGACGCCTTCTCGATCTCGGCAATTTGCGCAGCACAACTTGAATTTTAGATTGAAATTTTGAATTGAAATAAAAACAAAAAACAATCAATATAGAGGCTCCTGTGCATACCTTCGGGGCTGGATTTCACGGACTGTTTACCACGGTGAGCAAAGTGCGAAGAGACGAGAGGTTTCTCCGCCGCCAGGGAAATCAGTTGGGATTCCGATTCGGTCGGCTTCAGATCGGTGCAGGCCATTTCGGTCGCAATTTCCTTCCCCACCGCCGCTTCCTTCTCAATAATGACATCACCTTCACCTAATTTCTCTTCGCCGAATTCCACCGTCGCACCGTCAACCGCCGCCGGATTCAGCTCCGATTCGCCTACGAACGGCCCCTCAAACGATGCCTCCGCGACAGATTTGATCTCCGGATGAGCGAAGGCAACCAAATCCGCAGGCGGAGGCGTGTTGGCCGTAACCAACGGATAACACTGGCCGGAGAGTTTCTTCTCAAGGCGATCGCGCTGGAAACGAGAGGAGAGCACAATGGAGACGATGATCCCGTTGATGATGAAGTAAACGTAGGGTGGCCGGAGCCAGGCCAAAACAGGCCGGAGATCATAGATCAGTGGAAGAACGGACCTCATTGCCGTCAAAACATAGACCGCGCTTGCTAGAATGAGGAGAGCTTTCGCCAGAGTTGCCGCCGGAATGGCCATTTCTGACTGAGAAGAGTGAGTGAGGAGAGAAATCTCTTTGAAAGATCGGAAAAGAATTATGGGAGCTCTGACATGGAGGACGGATGGATGGATGAGGATTATATAGTCGCGAACGTTACGGAGCGTAGTGGACGCGGTTTGCGGGCGAAGATTAAACGGTGGCCGTTGGATGAT